TGTGTGCACACAAGCTCAGATTTTTTTTCTGCAAGTGCTCACATCATGTTTTACACGCTCTCGCATTTTGCACCATATCTACCTTCATAGCACTTGGCCATCAGCTTGAGAATGTGTGTGTTTATGGATGAATGTTGGCATGTGTTTTGTAAAGAGCTTTCAGTGGTCAGTAGATGAACAGCGCTACATGAATGCAGTCCATTTACTTTCTGTAGAAAAGTATAGTCAACCTCAGATTTCAGGTGTATTAGTGGATGCAAGAGCGACAGTTGCCAGAGTCAATATCCACACGCCACAAACCATACACACAGTGACAATGGACTCTGTGAGACATACGTAATGTAATAGGCGAGGGACGGAACTCCGGCGATTATCACTTACGTCACAGCTCGAGACTTTGGGAAAAAGTTCCATACGACTATGGAAAATGTGCCTCGTACTGAACGTAATCTTGTGATTATAATTGACCAGTCAAAGTCAATACATATAAACAGACTTTCATTTGTTTAGTGTATGTTGACAGGTTAGGGTTTCTGGCATGGGTATGAGTCAGAGTTGGGTTCACGTTGCTACTGAGAAAACCTCGGGGAAATGAAAGGTGCATACCTCTCTCCTGATGCCCTGGTTTTGTTCCGTCTTGAGGAAGTTGAGCAGCACCTCTAGAAGGGAGGGGTACTTGCGGTAGGGCTCCACCACGTAACCTGTGCTCGCCACCTGCTGGCCCAGAGTCCACAGTGCCACCTGGTGGAAAGTCAGAGGCAGAATCCACTGAGTGTGAAGCATGAAGCGTAATGTTTGGGATGCATTATCTAGGCATTGTAAATGAACGTATCCAACAAACAACGTTATTTTATATAGATATTCTTATATTCTCCTTATTATGTGTACCTCCTGGCACACAACACTGTTCAAACAGGAAATACCAGAAGCACAATTCACTCAAAAGATGACTTTAAATGTTTCCAGAAATGCCGGTTATGAGTTATGTCAGAACTCGGGTGGTGCTGAGTTGAAATTAGAATAGAAAATTAGGACCAGATGCAGCAGAAACTTTTTTGGCGTACCTGTCGCTTGGCCAATGAGGAGGAGTCCTGCAGCATGTCCATGATGATTGGAAAAAGCTCGTCCATCCACTTCCTCATCTCCAGACCGCTCACCTGACATGATAGGCAGAGCAATCAAAACCCTGGAAATATCATACTATACTCTCCTTTTGATTTTAGAAAAAAAAAAGGGATTAAATAATGACTTTTACATTAAAGAAGCAGATTAGATCTGACCATATTAAACTATAGTCCGTTTCTGTAGAATTTTGATGTACAAAAAATACATTTATTGTTACATTTTAAGGATAGGCTTAGGCGTGGGGTATTTTATTCAATATTGTTATAGGAATAATAGATATCATCTTAGATTTGGGATATAATAATTTAGGGATGGGAACGATTAATCGAATATTAGAATAATTATTCATGTATTCGAATATGAGTTATTAATTTTTTTATTTATTTTTTTGTTTTTGTTTGGGTTGAGTACATATTATCAAATTGAATAATTCAATGTATACGACAGTGCCATAGCTAAATGTGTTAGGTGACGTCTAAAGGTGTGTTTTGCTCCGCTCACCGGTCCCTCACAGCGGGCAGAGCTGCAGGTGCAGGTGCTGATCTCCCTCTCTCTCTCTCTCTCACGCCCGGTTATACTTCCCTCGCGTTTATGTCCAAATCCATCAGATCTATCTAGTTCTAGCTAATGATATGGCTGCTGCCCCTCCCTACACGCAGATCACGCAGACTCAAACCTCATCTTATGCCCAAATGCGGCGCAAATGTGCTCCGCAGTCGTTGCGAGGTTCCGGCACTAACAGTTTATGAGCGTGCTCCCCCGCCCCCTGTCAACACTCGTGACACATGAGTGGCCAGCCTAAACAACAATAAGCACTGCTTGGCAACCGTGTGTGGCGGCAAAGTACATAGACATTTTGACAGGAGAGATTTAGTTTTGCCGGTATTCAACATATTTTACCAGTCATAGTCCGGTAATTATTTACACTCTAAGAAGAGTCCTACACAACAGACATGGCGTCAAAAAGGAGTAATGTGTGGAAATATTTCGACCAGGTTAGTGAGTGCGGTGTAGAGTGCAAACTATGCCAAATTAAACTTATATACATACTATACCTTGCTATACCCGCAACCTCCGTTCCAGCTGAGAGGGTCTTCTCTACAGCTGGCCTGATTGTGAATCGCCTCCGCACATGAAAGCTGTAGGCCTATAGCTGTCAAACTGTGATCAACAGTTCAATACATTTGAGAAATTCGACTTGGTTTCTATACTTATTTGAACATGTATTTATTAATTTCCACAAGTTATTGAAAAAAAATGTTTGGATTTTTTCTTCTTTTTTTATAGGATATGTACATTTCGGTTAACCGGTTAACCGTTTTTTGGGGGGTCGGATATATGAATATACATTCGCTTTCAAATTCCCATCCCTATAATAAATGTGTTTTCAAAGTTTTAAAGGGTGCATTGTAGTAAATTATGTCGTTTTCTGAATTTGCCAGACTGTTCTTCATGTCGTATCGATTGCCTTAACACACTCAATAAATCCATATGACTGATGATTATTTATCAGAATTCTCATTGTGTAAACATTTTCATCAATGTTCAAATGCCCCGATATTGCTGTAGAGTGGTGCAGTGATCATGTATTTTGTAGGACGCCCTGAAAGTTAGCATCACAAGGGCTTCCTTGACAATATTTTGGGACTTTGCGGAATATCTGATCTGTGGCAAACACATGTTTATGATATTTACACATGTTGTTAAGCGGGACGAATCTTCACGTTACCATCACTTGTCAGAATAATTGAAGCGTTAAGCAAAAAGTAAAAAACATGATGCTATTAAATAATTAGCTCATGATTACATGACATTACGACACCACCGCTAAACTATAGGCGGTTACTGATCGTTATGAAGAGTCATTTAGCCACTTTAACAACCGCCATATTTAAGACACATAAATGCTTCAGACGTTCACCAGTGGGATATTTCATTATGTATTTTAAGTAATGGAACAAAACTTGATAGTCTTGTAAGCTTGTGTTTACCACAGACCTAATTTCAGGCATCAAACTAAAACTCGAGAGGCGGTAAGATGCTAAAATGCTAACTCATTTCCGGGATTAATATTCATTCCTACACTACTCTATTCGGTAAAAACATATTGTGATATAAGTTTTTCTGTTTGGATTCAGCAAGTACTCAGCCCTAGGAAAACTTCAGTATTTTTGTGTTCATCTATCACAGCTTTAATTTGGGTCGGATTTGTAGTGAATTCAAACTCTCTCTTCTCTTTTTTTTGTATACCCTACGTTCTCTGGCGTCTTCCTGTGCTGTCCCTGAGCTGAGTCAAGTGTGAACACTTGGTCTACCTGAGCTTCTCCTGCACTCTGTCTGAACTGAGGAGTCCACCTGCTCATAACTGTGCCTTCCTGACTCCTTAGAAGGGTCCATTGCATCAACTGGAGGAGGGTGGAGCAAGGCACACACCAATAGGCAGGACTCTACCCTGAACTAATCACCTCAGAAAAAAGACTTGCATAAAAACTGTTACAGTGAGAAACTCCAAAAATTGAAAATGTGTACAGGGAAAACACTTCAGCTTGAATTTATTGAGGTCTCAAACATCAGCAGCTACAGAATCAATACGACACACTGGCTAAAACTGTTTAAACTTCACGACATTGAGACACTTACCTGGGCCAACTCGCCGATGGTCGCAAGGACACTGATGACCACTCCAGGGTTGGGGTCTGGGTCTTTCAGCTTGAGAATGAGAGCCTGCAAAAAGGGATAGGTAACAGGGGTCATTTTGACCATTGAACCCCAGAGCTATACACAATTTAACTATTCAGAATTATTTTTTGAAAGAGCTTCAAGAATTTAGATTCTAATGGATTTAAGGGAGTCCCGCATATAGTTTTGCAGTAAAATCATATAACATGGTGTTTTTAATGATAGATTCTTATTTCTTGTCATAACTTAACATCTTAAAAAGACAGGTTCCCAAAAGTACTCCGCTCAATTGATGGTCAGTTTTTCAAAAGATCAGTACCAGAAATATACAGTTATTTATTCCATGAATTCTTCTTCCTTTTTTCGAAAACAAAAATGCAACATATCCACTGACAGTTTGTTCTGAGATTTTGAGGGCTTAACAAACCTTGATTTATAAAATCTAATTGTATTTGTTCAGATAAGTCTACATATGTTCCTCTGATGCAACAGTCTGGTTTGCATTGATACACTCATACACCTTTACAATTGAGAACCTGTAGACTTGTACCTTGAGGATGGGCTCCATATACGGTCGTATGAGGCGGGGGGCGTTGGAGACTAGATGACCGAGCATACGAGCGCTCTGCTCTTTGTTCCTGCCGACACCACTGTGCTCCAACTCCGTTAAAATCTGCAAGAAAATTCACAACAGAGACAAGTATAGAGTCTTTATCTCTGGACTACATCTTAAAAGGTGCATAGTGTACACAATAAATGCATATTGTAAATGTTGGTGTCATGGGAGCGGGTCTTAAGTAAGAAATCCTCACTTTGGTTTTATGGAGCAATACTTTTGATGTTTAAGCAGTGTATGATACAAAAGCCTTTGCTGCCATCTAGAGGTTTAACATTGAAACATCAGCCAACAAGTGACCTTTCCAAACAGTACCAACATATAATAATAGCTGTGCATGATGGTAGAATTATAAATGTTTTTAATTATTACTAACATCCCTTTCTTGTAATTAACCAGCTCTTCATATGAAGGACACATTAATGCATTTTTATTTAAAAAGTAAAAAAGAAAAATATATACAGTGGGGCAAAAAAGTATTTAGTCAGCCACCAATTGTGCAAGTTCTCCCACTTAAAAAGATGAGAGAGGCCTGTAATTTTCATCCTAGGTATACCTCAAATATGAGAGACAAAATGAGAAGAAAAAAATACCAGAAAATCACATTGTCTGATTTTTAAAGAATTTATTTGCAAATTATGGTGGAAAATAAGTATTTGGTCAATAACAAAAGTTCATCTCAATACTTTGTTATATACCCTTTGTTGGCAATGACAGTGGTCAAACGTTTTCTGTAAGTCTTCACAAGGTTTTCACACACTGTTGCTGGTATTTTGGCCCATTCCTCCTTGCAGATCTCCTCTAGAGCAGTGATGTTTTGGGGCTGTCGCTGGGCAACACGGACTTTCAACTCCCTCCAAAGATTTTCTATGGGTTTGAGATCTGGAGACTGGCTAGGCCACTCCAG